CAGACAAGTCATTCAAAGGGGCAGGGGGCTGGGGCCAGGAGGCGCTGTCTAGTGACAGCTGTCGCTCGGCATTTCGTGGTCTTTTGCAAAAACAGGTCAACTAAACAGAGAAAGAGCTAGATTTAGATAGAGAAAGCACAAGCTAGCGCTAAAAATGGTCAGAGCTATGGCAAATAGTATTTAGAGTTTTTCTTTCTTATTGAAGTTTAAATCAATAATCAACTTGGAAAGTTGATCAACTTGTAAATGACTGGAGAAATGGACGAGAGAAAACATATGACTGTGATTGGAAATTTTTGGAATAAATGTGGTTCACTTATAGAGCAAAATATAATTGGTGATTTGAAACAAATTGAATGTGCATGAAGTAGAAATAAATGTTTATTCAAGAGCTTATCATAGAAAAAGTAGATGTAGTTCAGATGTATTATAAACTGAATACTCAAATAAATGGTAAAAACTAACTATGAATTAAGAGCTCAACACATTCACATAGTCAAATCAAAAACGCTTGAAAATCGAAAACATTTTGGAAATATTTATATTTTTCTATGGACAATATTTGTAGCTCTTTCTGCACAATTTAAGTTTTTTATGTAACATATGCTTGAGTTTAAGTGGAAATTGATTACAAATTTCCCAAAAGTTGAATTCTTTAAAATCATTTTTCTTACTCTATCCACATTTCTGCTATCAATTTAATATAATTTACTGAGGAGTTGCTCCGTCTACCCAGGGCTTCATATAACAGATCAGTCCACGTATTCAACATTTATCCTTATCCACTGCTCTCATTGGGACCAAAACCAACAACAACAACAAGAACAACTGCGACAACAACAAGAACAACTGCAACAACAACAGAATGAAAAGCGATACGATTTGACAATGGCATTTCCCGCAGCATCGAGTCGCATCGATGTCAGATCACAATTCTCCGGCTGTGACAATTCCCAGTGTGTGTGCGAGTGTGTGTGTGATGTGTGAGTGTGTGAGTCTCAGTTAGCGCACACATAACGTATACGTAATGCAGCTGCGATTGTTGAAGGGGGAATATATCCTTGAATACTGCTCTTGCATTTGGTCTCCACAGTATAACAACAGCCAGGATCGTATTGAATCTGTTCAGAAGCAATTTCTGCTTTTTGCCTTACGAGGTTTAAACTGGGACCCTAATCTTCGGTTGCCGTCCTACTCCAGCAGACTGCTTCTTCTCAACCTTCCGTCGTTAACCAACCGTAGGACAATTCTCGGTGTTGTCCTTCTACATAAGTTGATTATTGGCGACATAGATTCTCCTTTTCTGCTAGGGCGTCTTCAATTCTCTGTTCCGGCTAGACCAACCAGAAATTATCGCCCCTTTTTACTATCTACGTGCACAACAGACTACGCTATGCACAATCCTTTTCGCGTGCTATGTAAAAATTATAATAGTTTGCATCACGTTTTCTCTACCGAACTGTCTCTACCCCTAATAAAATCGTTGCTTTCAGGATACCTTCGGGAAGTCGCTGACCATTCCCAGCTATGAGCAGGGGCATAGCTTGCCGGACAGGCTGAAAAATTTTCCCCCACCGGGTCGGTGATTTCCCATTACTTTTCTCTCTGTCCTATCTACTTAACACTCTTTATCTAACTTACATTGCTTTACTTTATTAACAATCTTCTTACTTTCATTTTTCCTATTTATTGTATTTTCTTTATTAATATAGCAAATTAAGATTATTTTAATGTTACTTGAAAACACTTTTTTCCTACTTACAACCTTCTGCTTAGATGTAGGCTCTAATAGCGTCACTGACAAAATTAGCTGTGAAAAGGGGCACAGCTGGCCGGACTGGCAAATAAAACACCTCCATCGGTCGGTGATGCTATTTAGAAAATTGTATCCTTTAACTAGGCTTTTAGCATAAAATTCTATTGTATAATCTATTGAATAATGAGGAAGACACTCGTTTTGTCGACCATTAATAAATAAATAAATATAATAAATATGACTGCAGGGCAATTGTTACACTGAGAGAAAAGAATCTAGAAACTGCACTCAATTGCAGTAAAAATATAAACAAATCATGCAAAGCTTAAAAGCCAATTGCTCATTTAACAATGCACCAAGTGCCTGAAAAAAAACTTAATTGAGGACATTTTTACTAGCTAAGGCAAGCACACAAATTCTTGCAATAAGTATTTTTGCACTTAATTCAAGCCAATTCCAGCTTACTTTTGTAATAAAATGAAGCAGAACTTGTACTCAATTTAAGCATATTTCTTATAGAAATAGAAAATAAATTTTAAAGATAGTAAATTTTTCAAATTTTTTAACTTGCTTTTAGTATGACGCTTTTTTGCTCAGTGCAGTTTCTATTTCTGTTAAGCGCTTGGTTTTGCTTACATTTAAAACATGAGGTGCTCGCACGCACACACGGTAACTTTTAAACATGCAGTTAGCAAATTTAACAGGCGCTTTTCGAATACCTCTTGCATCCTAGTTTAACCTGAAGCAATCCTTCAATATAAAATTCCCACTGTCTCTCATTCTCTGTCTTCTCCTCTCTCCTTCTCTCTCCCACTCTCTCTCTCCCTCTCACTCTCTCTCTCTCTCTCATTCTCCCTCTCTATTTTTCTCACCATCTCTCTCTCACTCGCTGGAGATTCAGAGTGCTTTAATGCTGCTGGCTTTGTTGCAGCTTAATGAACTGTGCATATGTGAGCCTCCTTTCTATTTATCTCTCTTCATATCTCATTTTCTCTTTCTCACTCCCTGTTGGCTGTCTCTTTCCGCCAGCTGTTGCTTTATGCCTCAGCCGCATTTTACATGCATTTTTCAAGCGCATAAATCACTCAATTGGAAACTGCGCACACACACCGTGCCCCCTCTTCTTCCATAAAGCCACCACCCTGCTCTTGCCCCCCTTAAAAGCATAATTCATAAGCTGCTTAAGCCTCTGGTCATAAATTTACTGCACACACATTAATTAGGCCACCGCCACATCCCCAAAGATACTCCCCCCACCTTGTATCTACCTCATATCCTACCTTCACCCCAACCCCTCCCCCAGCAGCACGCCTTATCCACTCGTAATCCCTGTTGCGCCTCTTTCTGGCCGGCAAAAACGCAACTCTTCTAATAGAGCCAGCCGCTCGCTGGGCAGGCATTGGCACCAGCTTCAGCTTTGGCTGATTCTGGTTGCATCCCGACCCGAGATGAATAATGGATGCTCATTAGTCTTGAGCCCGAGATTGGGGGGAACCTACTCGTGAATACCACGCGAAATAGTCTAGCGAAACCAGACAACTAGCCAACCAGTTGGTCAGCGATAAAAATGCTTCCAATTGGAAATCGAGCTTTTTTTTTTGTTGTTATTTATAATAGAAAAAGCTGGTCAACAATTACAGCTTGGACAGATCTGACAGAATATATATATTATATAAGGATTTATATATATATAAGGGTTTATAAAAGGATTTTGGCAGATAATCAATCAAATTGTCAATCAATGCAAACTAACAACAAGCAGAGAGGGAGACAAAAAGAAAAGCACACGCAATCAATGTGAAAATGTTTGAAAACGAAATTGAAATGGATAACAAAATTGTGAAGCTGGGCGGAGGGGAGGGTCGATGGGGAGCGTGTGTGTGACGAGAGGAAAAACTAATAATAAAAACAACAATGAACGGAAATAATTAGAAATATGCGTTTGGCAAAATAAAAGGAATTTCCAAACGGAAGGAATTACTTTATATCGAAGAAAAATCGTCAATCAGAAATCGAAATATAAATGGAAATAAAAGAAAAGCTTTTAATGGAAAATTTGCCGAGAAATCTTAAGAAATACTGCAGGTAAATAAAATACTGTACTATATATAAAATAAGTCAAATATAACTAGTTTTACGACCTAAAGGAAAAGACACAGTTAGGGCTAAAATAGAGATGCTTTCCAAAGCTTAGGCGAGCTTTAATGTATTCTTAAAGCTTTCGTTTTAAAAGCTGAAGTATTTTATCAGGATTCAAATTAGTATATAGCCAGAAATTGCGTATTATTTAAAGCTAAAATTCCAATTTGTCAATAAAATTCAGTCCGTTTATGAACTTGACGTAATGCAAAGAAATTGCATTTTGAGAATTTTAAAGCTTTCGGACATTCGTAAAAAAGATTGCGAAAATATGAATGCATTTCAAATAATTATATATATATTATACTAAATACTACACTATACTTAATAAATATATCAGTTATTGTTCAACAAGTGTTATTCAGCAAAAAGAAAGAAAAACATGTTAAATATCTCAACAAGCATTTATAAGATATATAAATGCATATTTGGGCTTAATACAAACTTTACACAAAGCGCTCAGCTTTTTGAAATTATTAAGAAGTTGTAAGCAAATGATTTATTTTATAGGGGATTCTGTGACAAAGTCAAAGCCTAAATGGGGAATACGACTCACGAGTTGCTGATCGCAAATTATAGACGGAAAAGGGCTATAGGGGAAGGGGCAATATAGAGTACAGAACAGAAAAAAATACATTTGAGTATATGAATACAATACAATACGATGTCATACTTTATAGTACAGTATTCGCTCACATACAAGAACCCTTCCATTGTTGAGTTTATTATAATTTTGCGTGATATTATTTGAAATATATAATTAATAAGTAGGTTTTCAAGATTTTGTTATTTAACTTATGGTTTATTTTTTATTTTCAAGCAATAAGTTCTTGACAAAAAAGGAATTAAGGATGCAGAAAACGACTAAGTTTTAGTTTTTCTCTATACCAGTCCTTATTTACTATTTTCAAAATGCTACAGTTATTCTCCTCCCTCCCATTTTATTTTATTCTATACTGATATATGTATATTTTAATATTATTTGTTTATTCTATTTTCTGGACCCAAAATATAATAAAACGTTTGTTGTAAGATGTTCTATTCTTATATTTTTCTACCTTTTATTTAAAATGTTTTTTTTTGTTTTGAGATTTAAGACACTTACAATATGCTCCTTTAGCTCCTTGCGTATTGGTCCCAGCCATTGATGTAATCCAATGTATCGTTTTTGCACCATTTTCAGGGCGGGGGCGCCCTGGGCGTAGGGCCCGCCCAGAAGGGCGCTGGCGGTTTCTAAAACCACCATTTTGTTGTAATCGCTTGTGGTGCCGATTATTTTTCTTGTTGTTGTTGTTGTTTTTGAAACACACACACACACACCCAGAAACACGCACACAAACGCTTTCTGTTGAAATTTATCCGGGCTGCCGATAAGCGCAAAGGCCCCTTTATATATATATATATATATATATATATTATACTTTCTGATATTATATTTAAATATATATTTTTTTCTGTCAGAGCTACAAAAAAACAGCTTTGTTATCAACTTTGAGCTGAGTTTCAAGAAAAAGTTGGAACTTTGGTTTCTGATTTCTGTTTTGTGAGTTTTTATTGTAATGCATTTAACATTATAAATGTGAATATGTATTGGTCGAAAACTGTTGATTCAGTTTTTATTTTTGTTTTTGTTTTTGCTTTTTTATTTTGACGAAATTGAAATTTCGTATATATTTTGTTGTTGTTTTTGGGTTGGTTTTGGGTCGCGTTTCAATTAAATTTTAAGCCGCATTCGTCAGACGTGCCTCGCTGGCCGCAAGAGCGATATATGAGACGAGATGCTGCCCGACTCAAACTCAATGTACAGATATATATACACATATATTAATGCACATACATATATATAAGCTGCAACTTTAATCCTCACACGTTGATGTTCATGATGTTGGAATCCTTGAAATCAATTAAATGACACGCACCACAGAAGACAGCAATAAGTGTGGGAATATCTCTAATATTTCTTTATTTTGCTTTGCTTGCTTTAAATTATTTTTTATTTATTTTTCAATAGGCACTAAAATTGTTTTTTTTTTTTTTTTGGTACAATATTGCAACAATCGATTTGTTAATATTATTGCACTTTCAAAACACATGAAAATTTTACTGCACACTTTGCACAATAATAATAATAATAATTTATAATAATTAATAATAATTTGTTATAATTATAATAATAACACGGGAAATGTGTATTTGATCTGCTTCACTCGACAAAACGTTTACGTTTAACGGATATGCGAGTAGACGACGTACGAAACGGAAACGGCAGAACGAACCGCAGTGTTCAAAGTTCCATCGCGAACTGATTTTCCCGTCTGAGTACGATTTGTGCCGAGCCGAAGGAACGACAGCGCAGAGCGTACGAGCGAATGAGCGTAGAGGAGAGTTCGTCGCCGCACGAAATGCAGCGTAAGCGAAGCGGCCAATCTGGCACAGTGGGCACTGTGCGTGGCGAGTGCAAACATTTTTATATGCAAATTTAAATGCAGCCTCAACAATTTTGAAACGAAATACATAAAATATGCATAAAAGAAACAAATAACATTCCACAGTTTAGCTATAAAAACCAAAAACTCGCCTACTTCTGCTCTACTGTGCTGCTGTGTAGAAGAGCGAGCGAGAGCGCGGCCAGCTTGTGTAGAGTTTGCTCAGCGCAGCCGACAAACACTTGTTGTTGAAGTTCTGTGAGGCGGCGGCAAAGCCGAGCACACCCCAAAAACGGCATGTGCGAGAGAGCGAGAGAAAACTGTTGCGCGCAATATGTGCTCTTATACTCTTATACTGGCCAGTACGAAAGGCATTGCCAGTTGTGTGCAAAGAAAAAGCGCAGTTATCTTTTGTAGAATATCTCCACACTTTTTGGACATGCAGAAGGCATGAGTGAATGCTTGTCTGTGCGTGCGCGTGTCTATGTGCTTGCATTTGTTATGCTGCAAAGCGAATTGTTTGTGGCTGCCTCCGCCAAATGTTGCTAAAAGTTAACAGGTTGCCTAAAGATTTACAGTTTGTGGTGAGAGAGAATATGTAACTGAAGAAGAACGGAAACATATGTAGCTGGAAAATAGCTTGATGATTCAATCAGATAGAAATGGAAATAAAAATCTTTACTTGAATAATAAAATATACATCTTTATATACATATGTAGCTTTATAAATAATTATGCTTCTTCGAAAATCTTTGGGTTCTCTCATTTATTTCAATCATGTACATTTCTGAAGGTAATTATATATATATTTAAGTAAATTACCTCAATTTATTTAAATATTATACTATAACTGTTTATATGCGAACTACATAAATTTCCCCATTTATAACAGTCAAGCAATATAACATTTCTAACACCTGATTCTTATTTGGAAACCTCATTAATTATACGAAACTAGATGACAAGTCCGCGCACGCCTTCGAAGAATTTTAATGATGATAATAATAAAAAATTAAATAAAACTAAACGAACACTAGCATACATGAAAAAAACATCAAGCTGCCTGCTGGGTATAGTATGATTATTATTAGGTAACGTTGAACCCATGTGGAGTTTGTTGACTTCTGGCAACAAAGTGTGACTAAACAAATTAAGTCGAGAACTAGGCGGGCAACAAAAAAAATAAAATAAAATAAAAAAATAAAAGAATGAGAGCTGTAACTAAAACCAGAGCGCGAAACGGAAGAGCAGCAAAGCAAAAATCTTATAAGGCACCGAAAAAGAAACAACAACAATAACAAGGCATTAAATTACATATTAGGCCTGGACTCCACCTGGGCTACACATATCAGAGTAGTGTCAAGAGAAGGCAGATAATAAAACCAACAACAGCAACAACAACGGCGATTTCATGCACGAGAACATGAAATTGAAGTGCAATCTCATAAGCTGGTAAAATATCTGTGCGCGCATAGCCAAGAAAATGATGGAAAATCATCAGCTAGAACAACAACTACAACCACAACACGAACATAATCAGGAATGCATTACAAGCCCATGAGAGGAAGAGGGTAGGAAGAGTTCACTAACTTCTAACGGTAACAGCGGAAGAGCCACGCTCGCTGTTCAACAAGTTGCCATAAACATGTTGCAGCAACATTGCATCAGTAATTAGTGCTGCTGCTCTACACGTGTTGCTCTGTTTGCATGAGTGCCTGTGTGTGTGTAAATGTTTCTGTGTTTCGTTTTTAGCGCACAAGTTCAATGCACGCCAATCACATGAGAAATTAGCACAAAAGCAACAGCCAACAACAAGAAAAAAACAAAAACAACCGAAGCTTATGCAAACTAAAACAGCGCGGCTAAGTATAAGAAAGAGAGAGCGCAAGCGTCGCTGCTGCTACTGCTGCTGCTGCTGCTGCTGCTGCTGCGGTCGCTCTCCCAGCTCACCTCGACAATGACATTCAAAAAAGCTGCAAGTCAAGCTTAGAGGTTGGAGCAAGAGCGTAGCGCAGCCCATCTCGCTCTAACGCGCTGCTCTTGCTTAGGCCATGCGATTGTGTTCCCGTCAAACAGCTTTGAGTTCGTTCACCGCACGCGACGAGCAGCGCGCTGTTCGCGAGCGTGCGCAAATGTGTGCGTGCGTGTGTGTATGTGTGCTTGGCCTAAAATTTTTCAGTGCCGGCCACGACCTGCCTAACTGCACAACAAGTTTGACTCGGCGCATGAGCAAGCCAGAGACAGACAGCGGGAGCGACAGAGGGAGAGTGCTTGTAACGATCAAGTCAAGATGTTAATCTCGCTGCCGCAGAGCCGCTCGCTCGTTAGTGGCGCTCTTTACACGCAGCGACAGCTTGTACACCGCCCCTACTCACCCCACACACCTCCTATCCACTTCTTTTAGGCCCTGCAATTAGCTGCAGCGCTGGTTAAATTAATTTAAAATTAGTGCCCGTCTTCATCAATTTGTCGCCAACTCGATTACTTTGCACCACTGTGCCATCAATTTTTATTTTGCGGTACAGTCAACAATGAGCTGTATGTCTGATCGATAACGATAAGTGCAGCATGGGGTATTCATGCAATTTATCTGCATTTTTTTTTTGCTTTTTTTTGCTTTTTTTGCAATTTCAATACGCATTTGCAAAACAGCTGTGTGAAGTGTCCAACCAGACATGAGGCAATGAAGTTTCAAGTGTGTGCCAGTGTATGTGTGTGTGCATGTAGAACTGTCATAGGGTTGAATGACGCTGTCATACACGTTGCATCAAACTATTTTTCAACCCGTTATATACATAACACATTGGACTGCAAATTGATATGAAATTGTTGCGCTTCGGCTAAGTCAACTTTTGCTATGCCCTGCTTGAACAAAGAGTTTGTCGTTTAAAAATTCGATAGCTTATCAATATTTATATGAAGTAAAGCTTATACTATTAGCTTCTTTGAAAATTAACTGTAATTTTATGCAAAAAAAAAAAAATCTTAAAATATGTTGAAATAGTTGAAATAGTTTCAACTTTAACTATAATACCTGTATACCCACTATACACTAATTTCAAGCAATTATTTCCCACTACCATCATTTAGGCTCTTCAAACGTTATTAATGTCTCATTTAATTATACTAATTCTATAAATTGAAAATCAGTTTCACACCTTCCCAGTATTCACGCTGAAATTGTTTGCTTTATTTTCCCACTGCACAAATAACATAATACATATAAATGCACCCGCCATAAATTTTTCGTTTATTCAAACCCAATTTGAGAGTATAATTTTTCCATAGCTTTACAGTTATTTATGGCATGTATATATGTATCGCTCTTTGCTAGTCCACTTTGTCATGTCCCCCAGCACCAGAGTTGCCACTCCGCTAAACTTTGACTGAAGCTAACACAATTCACATGTTGTCTTCCATTTCTAATTTATTTCTTTTTTTTTCGTCGACTTATTGTACATCCATCACGTATCTAAATTGAATTTATAATAGTTGACAACGTAACCTCATGGCCGACACCCCCCACCGCCCCACTTACACCCCCACACACACACACACAATCACACACACACTCGCACAGCGATTGAAAGTCAATTGGATTCGTTGCATGAGAAGTACGAGAGGCCAACACAGCAATTGGCAGAAATTTTCATTCATTTCAGAGGGCACAAAAATGTGACGAAAATTAATTAAAAATCAATTTGAATTTGATTGTTGAGCGATGTCCCCCAACCCCTCCCCACCCACTAACAACAATCCAGCCCGACCCACAACTACCTCTCCAGATCTTGCATATATATTCGTTTACTTTTTGTGTCTTTGTCGTTGAAAGTTAATTGACATTTGTGCAATGTTTG